CTTCACCTGAGAGACCACAAAAGATGCGATGCCGTTGGATGCAGGATCAGACATGGTGGTCATGGTGAATAGAGAAGCTATTTTGGTGAAGAGGGGTCAGATTGGAAGCTGAACAGTAGCTTAGTGAAGAAACGCGGACCCACAAGGTGAGCCAAGTGGGCCTGATGGTTGGGAATAGTTTTGGCTGGAGGATGTGCCTATGACTAGATGGGCCCAAGCCTGATGCCTACATATGGATGGGGTGAAGTGACCATGCCCCAAACATGAGAAGCACCATCTTTGGGCCTGAACGCTCTTCAGCTCCTCACTACGGGGATGAATGAGTGAACAGCTCTGGGGCACTCTCAGGTGTGTGCTTCCCCCGCTCCGCCCCCACCCCCTGCAATTGTGGGCCTTCCTGCGGGGGATGCAACAAACCCAGACAGAAGATCAGGACCCAGGCTGAGACAGATTCTCAGGATCCCCATTGCCAACCTCAGGTGAGAGGAGATGGGATGGCAGAGGGCAGGAAAGCAAGCCAGGAGACTAAGCTCAGGGTACCAGAAAACTGACAGCGAAAGGATGAGAAAAAACGCTTGGAAAGAATGTAAAATTATATATATGGACTTCCTGCAGTGGTTGGCATGATCAAGTGAATTATCACATCCATCCCTTCACATAGTTAGTTACCTTTTGTGTATGTGGTGAAAACACTTAAAATCTACTCTTAGTACATTGCAAATATACAATATAGTATCTTTTTTTTTTTTTTTTTCAGACAGACTCTCACTCTGTTGCTCAGGCTAGAGTGCAGTGGCGCAATCTCGGCTCACTGCAAACTTCGACTCCCAGGTTCAAGTGATTCTCCTGCCTCAGCCTCCCAATTAGTTGGGGTTACAGGCACTCGCCACCACACCCGGCTAATTTCTCTATTTTTAGTACAGATGGGGTTTCACCATGGTGGCCAGGCTGCTCTCAAACTCCTGACCTCAGATGATCTGCCCACCTTGGCCTCCCAAAGTACTGGGATTACGGGCGTGAGCCACTGTGCCCAGCCACAATATAGTGTCATTAACTAAAGTCACCTGCTACATATTAGATCCCCAGAATTACTCATTCCAAAACCGAGAGTTCGTACCCTTGGAGCAATATTTCCTAAATTCTCTCATCCTCAGCTCCTGACAGCCACCATGCTACACTCTGCATCCATGGGTTCAACTTAGATTCCATTAGGTGAGATTATGTAGTATTTATCTTTCTGTGTCTGGCTTATTTCACTTAGCATAATGTCCTCCAGGCTTATCTGCGCTGTCGCAAATGGCAGGATATCCTCCCTTTTATGACTGAATAATACTCCATTGTGTATGTGTTGTATATATGTGGAGATATATATATATATATATATATATATATATATATATACAATATATAATTGTGTGTGTGTATATATGACATAAGTATATACGAATACATGTATAGGACGTGTGTGTGTGTGTGTGTGTGTATGACATTTTCTTTACCCATTCATTCATCAACAGACACTTAGGTTGATCCTATATCTTGGCTATTGTGAATAATTCTGCAATGAATATAGGGATACTCTTGACCTCAAGTGATCCGCCTGCCTCAGCCTCCCAAAGTGCTGAGATTACAGGCATAAGCCACTACGTCCGACCCAGATAGCCTTTCTTCTCCTTCCTTTCTCTTTCTTTCTTTCTTTCTTTCTTTTTTTTGTACAGAGTTTCCCTCTGTCACCCAGGCTGGAGTGCACTGGTGCAATCTTGGCTCACTGCAACCTCCCAGGTTCAAGTAATTCTCCTGCCTCAGCCTCCCAAGTAGCTGGGACTACAGGTGCCTGCCACCACGCCCAGCTAATTTTTGTATTCTGAGTACAGACAGGGTTTCACCATATTGGCCAGGCTGATCTCGAACTCCTGACCTTGTGATTCTCCCGGCTCAGCCTCCCAAAGTGCTGGGATTGCAGGCGTGAGCCACTGTGCCTGGCCAGATATCTTTTCAAGATACTGATTTGTTTCCTTTGGATATGTAACCAGTGGTGAGACTGCTGGATCACATGGTGGTTTTATTTTCAATTTTTTGAGGAACCTCCATACTGTTTTCCATAATGGCTGCACCATTTCACTGCACAGTCCCACCAGCAGTGTACAAGGGTGCCCTTTTCTCCACACCTTCACCAACACTTCTCTCCTGTGTTTTGAGAACCGCCATCCTAACAGGTGTCAGGTGGTATCTCATTGTGGCTTTGATTTGCATTTCCCTGATGATTAGTGATGTGCACCTTTTCACATGCCTGGTGATCATTTGTATTTCTTTGTTGGAAAAATGTCTATTCAGGTCTCTCTCTCTCTTCTTCTTCTTCTTCTTCTTTTTTTTTTTTTTTTTTTTGAGGTGTTTGCTCTTGTTGCGAAGGCGGGATTGTAGTGGTGTGATCTTGGTTCACCGCAACCTCCGACTCCCAAGTTCAAGTGAGTCTCCTGCCTCAGTTTCCCAAGTTGCTGGGATTACAGGCATGCGCCATCACTCCCGGCTAATTTTGTATTTTCAGTAGAGATGGGGTTTCTCCATGTTGGTCAGGCTGGTCTCAAACTCCCGACCTCAGGTGATCCACCCAACTTGGCCTCCCAGAGTGTTGGGATTGAGCCACCACGCCCGGCCTTTTCCTCATTTCTAAATTGGGTTATTCGTGTTTTTTTCGCTATTGAGTTGTATGAATTCCTCACATATTAACTCCTATCAGATATATGGTTTGCAAATATTTTCTCCCATACCATAGGTTGCCTTTCATCTTGCGGATTATTCGCTTTGTAAACTTTCTAGTTTGATGCAGTCTCACTATTTTTGATTTTGCTGCCTGTACTTCCGGTGTCATAGCCGAAGATTAATTGCCAAGGTCAATGTAAAGGAGCATTTCCCCTGTGTTTCCTTGTACGGGTTTCACAGTTGCAGGTCTCACATTTAAGTCTTTACAAATAAATACATATTTTTTAAAAGCTTTGAAATATTCGTCATGAATAAAACAAAAACTTCAGTGAACTTTCTTATGCCTGTTTTATGCTTTGTTACTTGTGTATTTGGAATTAGATGTGCAGGGATAGAAAACTCTTTCCGGGGTCTGTGGTCTCAGAGGGTCTGGATCCTCCCTCTGGGGTTCCTTCTTGGGGCTGGGGGCGACCACCGAAAGCCCCCTTCAGGTCCCGACAGCTGGGCCTTCATTCTCAGAAGCCCTTCCTTCTCCTTTCATTTGCATCTCATTAGCACCACCTCGAGCTGGTGGCGGCTCCGCCTGTCTGGAGCCCTGGGAGGCAGGCTGCAGCCCGTCCCGGAGCTGCCCCCAGCTGGAGAGGGGTGTGGCGACCTGCTCTCCCCTCCCCCTTCACTGCGTTCTTCCGTCCCTACCCTCTCTCTCGCCCCACGTGCCGCAGCCACTGGGAAGGCGCAGGCGGACACGGGGTGTGCTCCGCTCTCTGCACCCCTACCCAGGCTCAGGTCGCCTAGGCGCCAGCCGCGCGTTCCTATGGCAACCGGGTGATGGCGCGGGTCGCGGTGCCTGCCTAGGAGCCACGCGGCCACCCAGCTCCCCGCCCCGCCGCCCAGACTGGATTGGTGACAGGCAGGGCCTCAATCTCCCGAGATGATCGGCGATAATTGGTTTATGGAAATAGTGGAGCGGAGAAGGCTGGCTCCCCCGCTAGAAACCAGCCTCCCTGCCAAGCCCGCTCCCTCCACCTGCCCTTCCCTCGCCAAGGAGATGGAGTTGGGGGAGGGAGGGCCAAGGAGCTGGGCTGGCACAAACGGGGCTTTTGAGGCAAGTGTTTCACCTGTTGGTCTCACCGTGGGGGACTGGAGGGAGTGGGATGTGTCGTAGCAACCAGGTGTTGGCATCAGTCACTCCTTTGCCCCTAAGTTCGGGCTCAGGCCTATGTTGGGTGCATTGTTGGGGGAAATGGAGGAGGAGATCCGTCCTCAGGGAGCTCCAGAGGAGCGCATTAGCCATATTGATATAAAGTGCTTCAAACCAGGGTCACCTCTGCTTGGAGCACCAGAGGAGGGAGAGCTCAACTCTGGTGGCTGCCTGGAGGAGGAGGCTTTCAAGGGAGGATTTCAGCAGGCATTGGTAAGAGGGCTGGGGCAGGCAGGCACTTCCATAAAAGAAATGTGAGCAACAGACTCTTGGCAGGAACTGAATGGTGCTGGCATTGGTGGGGTTGGGGAAGTATAGGGTGGCTTGGTGGGATGCCATCAGGGCTCCCACCATCTGTCTGTAGAGATCTAGGGGCCACATGCTCCTTGGAGTGTGTTTATAGTAAAGATTGAGCCGACGTCCAGTGACCCCAGTGAAGGTTGGCTGAATGGAGACTGTGTTGCCCTTGGTACCTTTCCGGAAGAAGTGAGACCCGTGAGGTGGGCATAGACGTGGCGTGTCAGGCCTTGGCACCAGGCTGGGGAAGTGTGTACCCTGACAGCAGCTGGCTGGAGGATGCATGTGGGGTGCATTAAAGGCCCAGAACTAAGTAAGGGAGTCCCCCGATAGAAGTGACTGGAGAAGGAGGGGAGGGGAGGGTGGTTATGAGGACCCTACCCCAGGGCTGGGCATGGTGGGGTGGGGCACCCAGAAGTCAGAAGAGGCCGGCCCCAAATCTTCCCCTTCCCCAATCTGACCATCACCCCCATGAGCCCAGCCCAGGCCTCTGCATGAGAGGGCCCTGCCCCACTGGAGCTGAGCTCTGGCCGATCCCTGCCCGGCTGGTGTGGGGTGGGGGGTGACACTCTGGATCCTTGGCACCCAGCCTTGCCCAGCCCCAGTGAGCAGCTTCCCATGCAGTGGCAGATATGCCAGGCAGTGCCCACAATGCCTCTGTGAGTCATACTTGGCTCTTCCTCTTTGGGTATGACAGTCCCTGTCCTGGGCCCTTGGGTGCTCATATTCCGAAGAGCTGTCCCCCTGTTTCTGCTCACAGCCCCAACCTATCCCCTGCCCCCACCCTCACCCAGCTACTTACACCACCACATAGGGCCACGGCTCCGAGCCATCCTTGCAGGCAGGCAGGTTGGTAGCCCCATGGAGGGTGACCATGATGGTCTCCTTGTTAGAGGGAGACAGGTGACCGATTTCCGGTTCCATGCTCTGGGAGGCGACCAGGGGCTCCTCTGGGCCTTCAGTGTTCTGTGAGGAGAGCCAAGGATAAGTGGCTTCTTTTTTTACTTTTACTTTTTTTTTTTTTTTTTTTTTTTTTTAAACAGAGTCTCGCTCTGTCCCCCAGGCTGGAATGCAGTGGTGCCATTTCGGATCACTGCAGCCTCTGTCTCCCGAGTCCAAGCGATTGTCCTGCCTCAGTCTCTGCAGTAACTGAGATTACAGCCATGTGCCACCACGTCCTGCTAATATTTGTATTTTTAGTAGAGACAGGGTTTCACCATGTTGACCAGGCTGGTCTTGAACTCCTGACCTCAGGTGATCCCCCTGCCTTGGCCTCCCGAATTGCTGGGATCACAGGTGTGAGTCACTGCGCCTGGCCCTGAGTGGCCTCTTCTGCTGCAGCACTTCCCTTCACTGCCATCCTCTGACATCTAGCCACCTCACAGCTCCCGTCAAGTGTCTGCCTCCCTCTGTCACCCCTCCACCCACTCTGAAAGGCAGCCGCTTGGCCCCATTTCTCCCTACCTCTGTCCGCCTCCCACATCTCTCAGTGCCTCTCAGCCTCTCCCCCAGGCCCGGATCCAGGATGAGACAGGCCGCCTCACCTTTCAAATCTGGTCCCACTTCTAAGCCTTGGCTTTCGCAAGTACCCTCGCCTGTAATTCCTAAATCCCACCTGCATTTTCAGTCCTAGCAGTGGGCCACCGTCTTCCGTCTGTCCCGTAACCTCGCCTCAGCCCACCCATCACCTCAGCTCCCTCCTGTGCACATCGCTTGACAGCTTACAAAGCTTCTCCACGCCTCGGGGGCACTCCGTGCATTACATGGAGGTGAATACATGTGTCCGTCTGTCTTCTACACAGGGAAATTTGCGGACTAGGGAGGAGGAGGTGCCTGCCCATGCGGGGGCCTCCTGCGCCAGTTGCCCCATGCGGGGACACAGCAGCTCAGGAACTCGTGGCTCCACTGCCCAGAGGACCATTGTAATGAGTTGCTGAGGGGAGACAGAGCCCTGGCCGGCTGAGGCAGTCAGGGAAGGCGGCAGAGAGGAGGAGGCCTTAAAGGGTTGGGAGAATCTGCCGGAGTGGAGTCAGGGAGGAGAGGCCAGGAGCAGAAACGAGTGAAGGAGCAAGCAGGAAGGGGCAGAGCTTTCCAAGGCCCAGAGGTGGCTCAGTTTGACTGGGGAAGCAGTAGGGACTTGGGGTAGATGGCAGCCCTGGAGACATAAACGCTGTGGGGTGGGCAGGCGTGTGGCCGTGGGGCTGCTGTGGCTCAGGGGCGTCCTCGTCCTCTCTGGCCCTGGTCCTCCGCTGGCCGGCTGGCTGACTCTCCACTCCCAGTTAATCTGACCCAGATTAATCCTTGCTAGGCCTCCTTCGGTAGGAGGTCTCGCTACCCTTTGTCCCTCCAGCTGATGTGAGGGGCCACAGAGGGGCATTCCTGGTCCTGGGAGATGAGCGGTGGACCTCCTCAGGGTGCTGGTAGAGCCCTGAGGGGCCACTGCGGGGCCGTCCCACGTCTCTGACAAGCTCAGCCTGTCAGACCCTGCATTCCAGGGCAGGCCTTGGTGGGCGGGGTTAACAACGTCCTATTACACAGAGGGGACATTGAGGCCCGGACGCAAGCAAGGACCTGGGCCCCGGTCGGACATTGGTTTTGATGGCAGCCCCGGCAGGCTGGGTCCCTGGCTCCGAACGGGCTAGCTCCTGAGGAGCCCTGATGGTCAGGAGAGCAGGTTTAAACCAGCTCTGCCTCTCACTACACCGGCTACCAAAGCCAGCCATGCTCTGAGAGTCAGTGTCGCCAGTGGGGAGATGAGGGCTTGGACCAGCCTATCTGGAACCTGCTCTGCTCCTACCTTGAGCCTGGGGGTCCTGGGCACTGTACCACCCCTGCTGGCTCCTGGAATCCTCAGGCAGAGGTCAGAAAAGGGGACAGTCCCGAGGCTCTGCCCTGCCCTGAGGAGTTTTAGGGACATTATTTCATTCATTTCTCATGACAGTGTGGGGTGCCGACAAATCGGAGCCACACACACCCTCAACAGCTCCCCTGGGGGTCCACTGGCCTCCCAAAGCTAACAAGTTCTTGCCCCCTCTTCAAACCCCTCTTCCTGCTGTCTGCCCCAACTCCTTAATGAGTTAATGACAATCTGTTGTTCTAGTTTTTCAAGCCCCACATCTTGGACTCCTTCCTGATTCTTCGCTCTCTCCCTCTTCCATCCCTTATGCAGATCCTCAGCAGATCCTGTCAGCTCCGCCTTCAAACCATTTCTGGACTCTGACCCCTTCTTAGCATCCTCGGGTCAGCACTCAGGTCCCTCCCAGACACCCGCACTCCCGACTCGCCTCTGACGGCTTTCTCCGTTTCCTCTCCGGCTCTCCCTCCACCCCTCCACCCCATCCGATCTCACCCAGCGGCAAGAGTCAGCCTTTACAGATTGGTCTGGACCCTTTCTCTCCTCTGCTGAGAACCCCGGAGTAGCCTGCTGCTTCTCTCAGAGCCTTGCAATGGCCGTGGGGCCCTCCGAGAGCCCAGAAAACTGTCCTCATGGTGTCCCCTAGAGCCCTGTGGGTCACTCTGCTCCAGCCACACTGGCCTCCGGGCTGTCTTTTGTACCCACCAAGCTCCCTCCTCCCTCCCAGCCTCTGCCCCAGCTGTTCTCTCAGCCTGGACCACTCCTCCCTGGGTGTCACCCCAGAGCTGTCATCCCTCAGCCTGCCTGCTACAGACTGTGGTCCTTGCCTAGCAAGATGTCTAATTAGGAGGTGGGAATACATGCCCCCCAGATCAGAAGTGCCAGCCCTGCAGAGAGACCCCCTGCTCCTTCCTCTGACTGAGGACGCCACCCCTGCCCTCCTCCAGGACCCAGCAGAGCCTGTCACCATCTGCAGAGGTGTTGATGAAGGTTGCCCCTCCTCCTTCCCCTCCTCCCAGGAGAGGGGAAGATGCCCCTGCCTGGAGGTGAGGGATGGGGCGCAGCCAGAGTGCTGCTCCTTGCCCTCCTGGGTAGGCAGCTTCCTCCCATATCCACCCTCACTGCCCACCACCATGACCCCCCACTTCCCCAAAGTCTTGCTGTCCTGATTTTGTGGCACAGGAGCAAGGCTGGCAGCCCCGGGGCAAAAGACCTAGGTTTCAGCTCGGCTGCGCGTGGTGGGCTCATGCCTGTAATCCCAGCACTTTGGGAGGCCAAGGCAGGTGGATCACTTGAGGCAGGGAGTTCGAGACCAGCCTGGCCAAGATGGTGAAACCCCGTCTCTACTAAAAAAACAAAAGTAAACCAAGTGTGGTGGCACGAGCTTGTAATCCCAGCTACTCGGGAGGCTGAGGCAGAAGAATCACTTGAATCAGGGAGGCAGAGGTTGCAGTGAGCTGAGATTGCACTCCAGCCTGAGTGATAGACTGAGACTCCATCAAACAAACAAAAAAAGAAGAAAGGAAGGATGGAAGGAAGAAAAGGAAGAAGGAAAGGAGAAAGAAAAGACCCAGGTTTCAGCCCAGCTCGGGCCCCACCTCTCCGAGCCTTGATTTTCCCACCTGGCCAATGGGAACGCCTGGAATAGTTTGTGATTCAGCCTTTCCGTGGTTACTGTGCCTGAAGTTCCTGCAGTGAGCTGGGAAGGGTATTAATGTTCCTCGATGGATTCCCCCTTTTGCTATGAGGGTACAGGCCCTGTCACAGGGCCTAGGAGTCACGAGCTCCCTAGGGTCACACAAGTGAGGGCCCATGACCATGGTCCAAGGCTCTCACGGACTCCCTGGCAGCCCCAGAGCCCAACTAGGCACCTGCAGACCCGGCCAGGAGTCGCACTGGCTCCTCCTCTACCTTCTCTGTGCCTCCCCCTCGGGGACGGCCTTCCCTTCTGGGAAAAATGCTTGCAGGAAGTTTGGCAAGAAACTGCTCATGCTTCAGTTCTGGGCATGAGGCCAGCTGCTAGGCTGGCGCCTCCTGGTGAGGCCTGCAGGCATGTGCCCTCTGGGTAGGCTGGGCCCAGGGCCGGGGAGGCTTGGGGCCAAGGGTGATGCCAGGACGGGGATGGTGGGCCAGGGCAGCCAACCCTCCCACGTCTGGATGGGAATCTGCCCACTTCCCTCAGAGGTGTCTTGCATTAGAACCAACGTCCCCAAGCCATCTCTTACCCCAGCCTGCCCTGGAGGATTTACGAGAGAACAAAAATGCACATACTGGGTTACACAAGGGGGAGTGAACTGGGGGTGATGGGGAAATCCCCCTGTAAGTCTCAGGCAGCACAAACCCACCTGTAGGGGCATGGTGAGCTCTGGGGAGGAAACTCATGTCTCCTCTTGGCGGGGAGCAGAGCTGGATGCTGACCGTCAGCTTCCCAGGCTCACTCTCGGTTAACCGACCCAACAGTGCTAGGGTGCAGAGATCAGCAGGCAGCTTTTCCAGGCAGGGGTTTGGCCAGTTTAGCTGCCCAAGGCCACACAGCCAGTGGATGAGAGGCTGGGCTGTGGGCACCGAAGCCTGCCTGATTCCAAAGCTCAGCAGTCTCAGCTACTCCACTGGGCCTGGTAATGTTCCTGTGGGGCCCTCCAGGAGCTGACCCAGAAAGCTGACCACATCTTGTCCCGTGCGGCCCTATGGGTCACTCCGCTCCAGCCACACTGGCCTCCTGGCTGTTTCTCGCACCCGCCAAGCTCCCTCCTCCTTCCCTGCCTCTGCCCCAGCTGTTCTCTTTGCCTGGACCGCTAATCCCTGGGTCTCACTCCAGAACCGTCATCCCTGTGCCTTGCTGCCTCCCTTCCCTCGGCTTGCCTGGGGCAGGCTGTGGTCCTTGCCTAGCAAGCTGACTAATTAGAAGGTGAGAATATACATCCTCCAGATCAGAAGCTGCTGACTCCAGTGCCCTTACCCAACCAGACAGGTGGCCTTGCCCTCAGTAGGCCAGGATTAGCCAGCAGGTGTTCCGGGGGAACCAGGACTGCCCATCACTTAGGGCATTTTTGAATCTGAGTGCTGGGGGGAGGGGCAGGGGTGGGAGGAGGAGGCAGAAACAATAGGAAGG